AAGGGTTATCGGTCTTGCTAGTTATAATATTCATTGCACGCATATGAGTTAGTAGACAAGCGACAAATTGAGGTAGTTAACATTATCACTAAGATATTGTCAAATATAACCATTAATACCATTGGACCATATAAATAATTGGCCACCAATTGCATGGACGTCTCACACAGTAAGGACTACAATTTATAATTAAAAGTGCGTTATGAAGTCAGTTATAAATAGCCATACACCTGTCTTTGGTCCTCCCTATACCATAAAATTCTGAAAATAAGCTCCTCCAAATATAAGCCCCTCATGATCAAACCCGTAACGCAAAAAACCCTTCGTTAAATGGCCCCTCCGAATATAAGCCCTTGAGGGCTTGTACTTGAAAACAGTTCCGTCAAATACAAAGTAAAACGAAGAAAAAACGGTAAATTTCCTTCCAACCATAAGCTAGCTAGCCTAATCGATTTTGAAACGCAAATTTCCCTCCATACGTATAGGACCCTCCGAAAATAAGACCTTCAAAAAGGGCCTTTGAAAAATATAAGCCATGGGGCTTATTTTCTGAATTTTACGGTATCTTAATTTCCTTCCTTTTTTTCGGCATAATAACTTTTCTGAATACATATATGTTATTCGCCGACTGGGAGGTCCGTATTGGGAGAAACTGTGCCCGAGGTCTTGAGTACCGCCCGAGGCTGTAGGCCGAGGGCGGTACTCAGACCGAGGGCACAGTTTCTCCCAATACGGCCCGACCTAGGCCGGTGAATAACATTTTTTATTTTTTTTCCTACTGAGATTTAAAGTTTCAGGAAAATTTTACTTCAGCCTCCAACCTATGTGTGTTGAAGAAGGGCGCGTTCGCACTGTTTTGTATCCATTTCTGATCCATTTCTCACTTGAGAAAAAAGAAAGGAATTATTCAAAGCGCGCGATTGATTGCAAACCAAAACAAAACGTCACATGATTTTTAACTTGTAATTTATATTATCACAATTAAGCTCTCTTTAGAAAAAAAGGAAGGTTTTTTTGTCTTGGTAGACAATTTATAATGTGAGTGTCAAACAAGGATAAAAGAATTGACGAACTTAAAAGCCACAGGACAGAAAATACAGCTGAATATTAATATATTTCTTCGGCTGAATATTTACTTTAAGATTTTAATAATTCAATCGAGCGGGATAAAAACCGCACAAAGTCTTTAAGTCAGTACTTTATAAGGTCTTATAAAGCTAGTGAAGCGACATCACAAGCCGCCTGTTTTGCTTTACTTTAGCGGTTTTCCTGGCTGACTTGCTTGATTCTCCCTTCAGAAGTTTTGTATGAATAACAAAATGCACTTTTCCCCAGCTAACGCTAATAATAGCGCAAGATCGTAAAAAATTGCCCGCTCTCGGAACCAATCAGATTCCAGGATTTGCAGGATTCCGCCCGCTCGCAAGCGTAGAAAAAATAATTGGCAATTATTGAATGAGGCTGAGTAGGATATGAAGAATTCTGCAGATCGAGGAGGGTGTTATCCACCGAGGCCGAAGGCGGAGGTGGATAACACCCTCCGAGATCTGCAGAATTCTTCTTATCCTGCGATAGCCTCATTCAATAATTGCTTTATTATTCATTCAAAATAATTCCAACTTTAAAAACAAGCTAAAAATGCTTACCTCGGTCTATGTTAAGGTAGAGGTCCTTAACTATTGGGGGGAGGCCGGTATTATTTCAAAAGCGAGGGCCCAAAAATCGTGCCCCCCTCCAAAAATGTGTGCCCAGAAAATTGTAACCCTCCTCTGCAAAAACATTTCGAGTATTCAAATGTTGCATCGTGGGAATCCATATGAGCGTAACTATGAGACAATTTTTTCATTGGAATAAAAAAAGTGTTATTATTCACAATATTTTCAAAACCCAATTTTTTCTTTTTGTTAGTTCAATAACCACACAACAGTTCAATAACCACCGAACAGTTCAATAACCAGATCAGTAGTTCAATGACAACACATTAGTTCATTGAGCGTAAACTATAATGTAGCAGCAGAAAACATCGCCACAACTACGTTACATATTTTTTAATTAGAATGTGTAGCATTAAGTAAGTGATAAATACTCATTTAGCAACGATACAAGAACTAAATTTACAAATAGCTATGGTACATTGTTATAAAGTTTTAGTGAGCTCACTTATATAGACAGGAACATAGATTGATGTTAATTAAGAAGTTCTAGTCTGCTCAGAAGGTCTGTCATTCTCATCAGGGGCAAAGTGAACAGACCTGGAAAGAGAGTAAGCGGCTGAAAAGGGAAAGCTAACTCGGTCCGGAGAAAAATTCGGATACTAAATAAACCGACATAGCGCGCGTTGATAAAGCAGATGAAACCTTGTTTTGACTCTCTTTCCGCACGTTTCAAACTACTGGTGTGCTTATTGAACTGTTCGGTGGTTATTGAACTATTGTGTGGTTATTGAACTAACAAAAAGAGAAGAAAAGAAAAAACTTAATTGGTAAATAAATTGTGATGGTGGGGCCAATGATGATGATGCCACTGAACAATGTCAGGAGGATGAATCAGGAAGTGCCTTTGATATTCACTCGGGCACTGCAATGGAAGCATACGACAGTGGCAGTTCAGATGACTCTGGCCCCTACTGGAACACATTCAAATGGGCTCCTTACTATCAGCCCATTGACTAATCGTTACACCTTCACTGTACATTTGTATACAGTACATACAAAACACTATGTTGCATTTGTTGAAAAAGAAAAACATTCTGTTCCTGTTACTGTTTAAGACTAACTGAGTTTTGTAAAAGAAGGATTAGTATAAACTGGACCACTATGAGTTTAAAAAAAAAAACAAATACAGATCGAGTACCAGTCATAACATGAAAAAATACATTTTCAGTTATAACAACATATCATCAACTATCCGTGCACTTTTGATCGCGGCTCGTTTTAAGAAGGGCTTTCATGAAATTATCTGCCATTCAGATGTATTATAATACAGGAAAATCACATGACGATGACGTTGATTAAACAACAAAGCCAAACTAAAACCGTGCGCTGCTTTCAAAGCCATTTCAAAGTCAAGCAAATTGGAAGCGATTCCGCGTGAAGTCACTGCTCATCTCCAGCCAATCAAAGTGCTTTTTAACCGTGCGATTCAGCTTGAGTATGCAATTCTGTAAATATTACTTGCACGACCATCGTATTTCAAGCAGTGCTTAATATTTCAGTAGCACAAAACCCATTTAATAGTACGTGCACATCGCCCAAAGGCGCCCAGAAATTGTAACCTTCCCCTAAATGCAGGCCCAGAAAATTTTAGCCCTCCCTAAATGGGCGCCCAAAAATTTACAAGCCCCCCCCCCCTTCAATAGTTAATGACCGCTCCCTAAGTTCACATCGATAGTGCATCTTTTTAGGGAAATTTAGCAGATAAAGGTCTGCTCAGGTCTGCAAATATACCCCAAATAGCAGATTTTGTCCGTCGAGTTGACTTCTCGCTGTTCTTGCAATGTTTTTAGACAATATTTCGCCGTGAAACGAGTACAATGTCCGCCCAACAGTTCCGCCATTTTGTTCAAACAACCAAAACAACTCAACCTCGTCCCCAGGTTTCTTCGGTCAACGGTTAAATATGACGTCATCGGTTCAATATGACAGTTGAGCCGCTGGTTATGGTGAATTATGCGTGTGGTTTTACCCAATCAGAAACGGGAAATATTTTGAATGAATAATGATAACAAATAATTTTCTCCATACTGCAAATATTATCTTCCTGCCCAGTTAGCAGCGTCATTCTTTTAATACTAATAGACGCCTTATAGTTGTTATTAACTTATGAATAAAAATCGCTTTATGAATAATGTCACTATAATTTTACACCGGACTGTTTTCGGTCAAGTCGTTTCTTCCTTAAGCTTTTCAACTAATTAACCGTGCATGTAACCCAACCCACAGTCCTGCTTTGATCTTTTTAAAAAAAGTTTTCTCAACTTACTTTTCAAGGAAATGTATGGAGATCAGTCCGAAAAATTTGCATGTGGATACTTGTTAAGCGGACAGTGTATTATCCTTCGGTGAGGGCCCCGTGGGGTGTTTTGGGGGAAATCAGACCCGAAAGACGAAATGATAGTTTAGGAAATGACACTTCTTGTTTGATCCACAGACATTGTGGGAAGGCTTGGTTTGTGCCAGGATAAACAGGGACGGCCGGGCGTGGGAAGTAGGACTACTTGACTACTACAACTACTGTAATTATGACTCCTTGTAGAAATACGGTCATCCCATGTCAGTTATGGAAAAAGTGGCTGTTCACTTCCGTGCCTTGAATAAAAAAGTCGCCAATGATCGCCGAGTTACTGCAACCATTCTACTAATTGGCTCGGGCCTTACAATAGCCACAAAATTGTGACATTGAAGGGAGAATGTTCCTACGCCTTTTACAAAGAAGTGCCCATAATCCTACCTGCACTATTTCTGCCTAAAAGCATACTGTTAGTTCCTCTTTTTCACTGAATTATCATTCTTATTGAACTCCCGTTTGTTATCTCACTGTCGACCAGTACAAAAGTGTCTTTCTTGTCGCTACGGATTTGACGGGTAACAATGGTCAATCCAAAAAACAAAGCCCAAACTGGATGTTATTCCTCCCTAACACTGAGAATGTTAAAAATGCATGAACTGGCTTACTTGTACATATTGGAAGTAGGACAAAAAAAAGTCGGTGGAAGGCAAATAATCTCATGGTATGTTTTTCGTTTTTGCTTCTCTAATTTACCTTCACATTCTGTAAATGAATAACACCAACGATGACAATGTTGATGATGGGATATGCAGTCGATTTACTATATAATGTTATATAATACTAGTGATATGTAGTTTTTTATTATGAGCAAAATTTATTACAGTTTATTGCAGTGAAAAAATTATTACAACTACCACTACTTAGAATAAAATCACAAAGATATGAACTACGCAAAGAGAAATAGTTTGAAGGTGTTCCTCTCTTCTTCGCTCTTACCCCATCTCAATATCATTGTTCGGTGTCGGTTTCTTGCATATCAGTAGGCGTTTAAACTCTTGCTGGTAGCTTGAACTACGAAAAGCGTACAGAATTGGGTTAAGACATAAAGTTAATTCAAACAGAAATCTTGACACGGTTTTAAGAACAGAGTCTAATTCTGGGTCATAATTTTGTTCATTATCTCCCGATGCAACAAGAATGCAGAGACCTACTATATGAGGCCAATAACCGATCAAAAACGCTAAACTCGCTAGGAGAAATGTCAAAACCAGTTTCTTTTTCTCTGAGTCTCCTTCTTCATCATTTTCTGAGCAAATTGTAGCAGTAAAGTAAAGTCCCCTTATCAAAGATCCATAGCAGAAAAACATGATTGTCGATTGCAAGATGATAATTGAAACATACAGAAGTATATAAATTTTGCTTTCCATATCGAGTGGAAGAAAACATGAAGTGTGTTCCTCGCTCCATTCTGCAAAGAAGAACCATGGAAAGCAAATTACGACACTCGTGGTCCAAATGAAAACGATGGCCTTCTTGACGTTATCGTCGCTTAACCGCAGTTCGGTTCTGAAGGGTTTTAGCAAGGCGTGATATCTTTCTAAAGCGAGAACTGTGAGTGTAATAGAAGAAACCATAACACAAATTCCAACGATGCTAAATGCCTTGCAAGCGAATGTCACAAATTTATGGCTCACACGTCCCAGTTGATCCTCAGTAAAATTGTTACATAAAAACAACAGAATGGTAATGACATCGCTAACAGCCATGTTAGCTAAAAGGTAATTCGTTGGTGTATGCATCTGTCGTGTCTTGTGAACGATTCGGATAACCAATACATTTCCTATAAAACCAATGGCAAAAAATAAAATGGAAAAGAAGGAAAGGAACCGACCTAGGCTATCTCCCAT